GGAATCCTGAATGCCAGGCACAGAACAGGAATTACACCCCAGATGATCTGTGCTGTATTTGCAAGGACACACTCCTTTTTCAGGATCTGAGTTATGTCCAACATAACACAACATGTCATCTCACCTGGGGCCACCTGTAGCATACATTTGATGCTGTAAGGACCATTACACATACATGTGTTACTATTTCAGGGACACAGTGAAAAACCAGAGGAAGAGAGAGAATGGTTTTGTGCAGTCCCTACCAGGAGGATGCTTTCCCAGGCCATCCAACGTATGGGCAGTACAGCTCTTCCCTGGATACGGTAGTAATCCCCACTATAAAGATTCCTGCTCATGCCGAAGTCAGCAATCTTGATGGTGTAGTTGTTCCCCACCAGGCAGTTGCGAGTTGCCAGATCTCTGTGCACAAAATTCAGAGATGCTAAATACTTCATTCCAGAGGCAATCTGGGTGGCCATGTACAGCAGGTTAGAGTAGCTGCATTAAAAGGAAACAAAAGATCAGTAGAGTTCACCGCACTCAACTCTTCCTTGCATTTGATGTATTACGGTGACCTGTCATTTTCTTTATTGCCATAACCGTGAAACCAAGCTGTCTAGTTTCAGGGCGCTAACACCCCCACCTGCCAGGCTAAGCCAAGTTCCTGAGCTGATGAAGCAAGACCAGACAACAACTCAGGGCCCTTCGAATTTGACATTCCTTAGCTTTTTCAGTATCAAGCATTAATCTCAAGATTTTCAAAGTTTATGCATCAAAGCACCAACTTTTTGCAGACAGACAGTCATTTAAAATTAAGCTGTACAATCTCAGAATCTCATATCTAAAAAATGACTTAGCTTGGTATTTCAAACACTGCCACTATTGCACGCTTACATTAATGTAAGTATGTCACTTAACATTAAAGAGAGCTTACTCTTAAAATATGTTTAATATTACTGAAAATATAAACAGATGCATTTTCCATCTGAAATAATTTTCATTCCCCCACTAGCGAAATGAAGATAATATTAATAAAGTTCCATGATACACAGACAAAGTTTGGACCATCTGACTTCTTCACACACTATTATTCTGTGATGCTTGGCTTGTTTCCCACTGTGGGTGCGCAAATGCTTCACACAATCAAGCATTTGTCACCAATCTAATAAACTGTTCACAGTTAGTATTTCTCTGATAAAGCTCAGAAAGTGGAAGTCTTATCTCCTCCTCTTTGCATCCTGGTGGCAATGAGAAAATCACTACCATGTTATCTTTATTACAATAACATGATGAATCTAATGATAATAGACCCAATCAATAGTAGAGGTTCATAGGCAGCCCCTTGACCTGGCAGAGCATGGGCAGGAGGGTCTGGGCACCAATTCCCTTCCCAGTCTTTCAGCATGGTGAGCACCACAACTCAGCTAGGTGACACCCAGCCCACTCCCACACTCAGCTCAATGTTTCTCCTGGTCTGAATGAACCTTTTGTGCCCCCAGGAAGGAACCGTGCCACCCACTTGTACCTTGTTAACCTCAGTGTTGGCTTTTCACATAGGAGCAGGCACAGCCTCCAGACCCAATCTTCTCCCCCATGCTCAGCTCCAGTCGTCTCCCTGCCCTGGGGCTGCTGTTCTTCCCACTCAGGAAGCCCCATCTCCCCTGCCCCACCTGCACCCTGACAGGGTCCCAGCAGCAGCTACCCGTTGGCTCCCTGCCCCTCTGCTCAGCAAGCTCTGCAGGCTCAACGCCTGAGGCTCTATGTACAGAGGGGCAGGACAGGAGGCACCTCTCAGCAGACCAACCTTCATGATTTGCTGGAAACCAGAGAGACAGTAGGGAGATGCATTTCAAATACCCAGGAGCCATAAGGACTTAAAAACATGTGATCGCTCTGCAGGAAAGGGATGGTCACCACATTTGGTGCACCAAATATTGAGCTTGAGAGACAGGCAAGATGGTTGGACTGATGGTTGGTCTGATGTCAATCAGACACCCACAGGCACCAGCAGAGACAAGCTGCACTCTTTGGCAGGGGAATTCATTTCACTCTCAGTACACAACTGCTACACAGACAGATATCTGAGCTGGCCACTCCAGCTTCCTTTAACATGAAACTATATCTGGCCAGAAGGGACAAAAGGAGAGGCTGAAGGATCAGCTGGAGAGAAAGAAAATCTAGAGGCAAAGACGAGTAATGGAAACCAAGGAAGAATGTGAGTGACAGCACCGCAGTCAGATGAGAGGTGAGGAGGAGATAAAGAAGGAAGAACAGTTTAAGGCTTTGACTAAGGAAAAAAGCCACAAGCCTAAAGGTGAAAGCTGTTTCAGATGCACAGAAAGGGCAGGAGACTGGAGACAGCTGGAATATGTTTCTTCTCAGATGCAAACCCTCTCCCATCATACAGTTCCTGGTGTGTCGTGATGGCAGGATGCCAGTTTAAACCCCCCGACAGGACTACTGACCACTGCCAGCTACTGGCAGAAACACCGGTGGTGTTTTGATATGGTAAGACCCAGCCATCTCCTGCCCAGGCCATCAACAGAACTGGCTGGTTCTTCAGTTAGAAATAAATCTAATCCTTTGGAAAGGTACATGCCAAAGGCTAAGCAATGCAGCAACTTCTGATCAGTGCAGGTTTCTTTACTGAGCCATATACATTAGTCCTATGCACAACTCTCCATCGAGGAAAGGATTTCTGCAATAGTAGAGATGCTTTTATGTTAGATTTAATCCTTCCGCAGAGGAGGGAGATAAGTGCCACTACTGACAGAAAATGGTTTTCTTTGCCAAATATTCTCCTTCTGTTGGCTGATGAAATCTTTCCTTAGTGAAGCTCCACACTCAACTCCCCTCCTATAATATTTTTTAGATATCCAGAGAACATATGAACCTTCTTAAAAACCTAAGAGACATTCTTGATTTTCATCCCAAAATTCTTGCTGTAATGCCAACTGGCTCCCCATATTAATGAAATATTTGATGCAAACCCACTAATGTAAACAGATGGTCACACCAGTAAACAATACATCTAAGATGGTCACTGTGATGAGAACAGCCCACAGTCAGGGACACTTCACAGGAACACAGAGGTCCAGAGGCCTCAAGAACAACTTCCCATGCAAAGCAGGGCCAGCATCCACATTATGTGCCGTGGCAATGGCCAGGGTCTGGACGAAGGTCACTGCCTGGAAGGCACAGCAGATGAAACTGGTAGCTCTGTATTGTTGATTGTCCCAAAGATGGGCAGCTCCTCTTACCTGACGCAGGGAATATTGTTTGAAATGGCAAATTTGCTGTAGATCTCCCTCTGTGACAGGAATTGATTGAGGTCTCCATTTTCCATGTACTCTGTTATCATGCACAATGGGTCATCACGCACACACACCCCCAGAAGCCGGATGATATTTGGGTTCTTCAGCCGTGACATGATCTTGATCTCCTTCAGGAAGTCATTCCTTGTAAAACAGAAAACACAGGTTCAAATCCTAAACAAAATTCCTTTGTCTAAGGGAAGCAGAAGTGGCACGTAAGAAAACCTCAGTTCAGAGACATTTACACTTCTGCACACAGTTAAGTTTGAAAGCTGATTCTGTTCTTGTGTTCAACATCCCTGGACAGGCTGGAGAGTTGGGCAAAGAGGAACCTGATGAAGTTCAACAAGAGCAAGTGTCGAGTGCTGCACCTGGGGAGGTCGAACCCCATGCACCAATACAGGCTGGGGGATGACCTGCTAGATAGCAGCTCTGCTGAGAGGGACCTGGGAGTCCTGGTGGACAATAAGCTGACCATGAGCCAGCAATGTGCCCTTGTTGCCAAGAAGGCCAATGGTATCCTGGGGTGTATTAAGAGGAGTGTGGCCAGCAGGTCGAGGGAGGTTCTCCTCCCCCTCTACTCTGCCCTGGTGAGACCCCACCTGGAGTACTGTGTCCAGTTCTGGGCTCCCCAGTTCAAGAAAGACGAGGAACTCCTAGAAAGAGTCCAGAGGAGAGCTACTAGGATGATAAAGGGACTGGAGCATCTCCCCTACGAGGAAAGGCTGAGAGAGTTGGGCTTGTTCAGCCTGAAGAAGAGAAGACTGAGAGGGGATCTCATCAACGCATACAAATATCTTAAGGGCGGAAGTCAAGAGGACGGAAGCAGTCTGTTTGCAGTGGTGTCCAGCGACAGGACTAGGGGCAATGGATGCAAACTGAAACACGAGAGGTTTCAGTTGAATATGAGGAAGAACTTCTTCACTCTGAGGGTGGCAGAGCATTGGAACAGGCTGCCCAGGGAGGTTGTGGAGTCTCCTTCTCTGGAGATATTCAAAGCCCGCCTGGATGAAGTCCTGTGTAGCATGCTCTAGGTGAGCCTGCTTTAGCAGGGGGGTTGGACTAGATGATCTCCTGAGGTCCCTTCCAACCCTTACGATTCTGTGATTCTGTGATCGACCCCTTCCCCAGGAACAGGATTAATGCAGCATTTCTGTTTGATATTAGATCTATTCCTCTTCCCCGCTCCCCGCTGGTGTTCTGCTCCTTACATGAACACACACAACATATACCAGAGACACATGACACTCTCTTACAGAAGTCACCAGGGTTAACTGATGTGAAACTGTTGCTTGGAGAGTATTTGCTTTCCTTCGCAGATTGTTGGCATTGCAGATGTGCTTACCTGGCTGTTTTGTTGACATCTGATCTCAGCATTTTCACTGCTACGAGAACCGGCTGGTGAGTGAATTCTGTAGGTGAGACTCCCAGGAATTCCAGCAGGCCATCAGCTTCACAAAGGTGCACCTGCAGGCCAGAAGGCAGAGGCAACTATGAGAGCAAGCACAGGCAGAAAACCAGAGGAAAACAATGTCATGTTGAGGTCACCAGTTTGGTCACCTCTGGCAGAATGACCGAGTGAATGATTTAATGAAGGTGACACTGTTCCGGTCAGAAATAGCTCACAGGTTGGTCCTAGATCCTGGACAAAACATGTACATACACAATATAGCCCATGGAACGTGGGAGCACACATGGATTGCATCCTTATGTGTCCCCAGTGCACTGAATTTACTGCACATGTGTGGACTGGTGCAGTAGACTACTTGGGCAGTCCAATTTGCCCAGCAAGTACTGGAGATGTTCAGGAAGGCCACTGTGCCTGGAGCCATCTGCTTTACTCTGCATGTGCATGCAAACAGCATAGCTGCAGCAGGACTGGCACATCACATCAGCCACACAAGTCCAGAACTGTCCTGCAGCCTGGCTTGAGTCACTGCTCAAACTTAACTGAGGAGCATCCAGGAATTACACACAGGTATCCAAAGTCCTCTAATTCCAGGGAAAAAAAAAAAAAAAGAAAGAAAAAAAAAGGAGACGAGTGTATGTGACTGTCCATGATATGGTCACCTCACCTGTGAACATACCCAGAGATGAATACTCTTGATGAGTATACAGAATTCCAGGTTTCTTCAGATAAATTAATAAAGACATAGAATTACTACCAGGATTGTATAAGAAGGAATGACAAGACATGTGCTTAAGAAGTTATCAGAATGCATATTCAAATGGAGAACTGGGCAAGAGATGCTGGGGTGGGGAAAGTAGACAGACCCAAGTGTGTGGGATCGGAAAAAGGACTGGAGGAGGGGAGCAGACTGGATGTGTCAAAGACTTGCAGCAGTGAGAGGAATGCAATGGGAGCTTAATGAATTTTATATGAAGAAAGCACCAAGAACTTATGCGACAAGCATGGTGAGGAGAAAAAGGAGACAGCGTAGAAAACACTACAAACCCACAGAACAGAAACGAGAGTACCAAGATGATGCTGCCGTTACATGGAGAATGAATTCTGCTGTGGTGAAAGCAGAGTCACAAGACTAGGAATAGGAAAGAGAGCCACAGTACTAAGTGCAACAAGCACAGGTAATGTGTCACGACTCCAGGGAGTGGACAGAGCAAGGAAGAAGAAAGACTGAAAGGGAAGAAAGCTCTGAGTGGACAGGTGAAAAAAAAAAAAAGCAGTGAGCCATGTTGCTAGAAGCAAGACCACCCACTAAGCCAGAGCAGTAGAGCAGAGCACATGATGATGACCAGTTTGGTTAAGACTAAGGACGTGAGAAGGAGAGACAGGAGAAAGCGACGTGGCACATTTGCAAAAGTGACGGAAAGAACCTGTGAGGTGAGGAAAGGAAGAGGCTCTGAATCAGTTTCCAAGGAAAATGGAGATGGAGGTCCAACTACTTTATAAAATTCATCCAACTCCTGGATGATTACCCAAAATGTTTCATTGTGGGAGCAGACAATGTGGGATCCAAGCAGATGCAACAAATCCATATGTCCCTGCGTGAGAAGACTGTTGTGCTGATGGGGAAGAATACTATGATGCGCAAAGCAGCTGCTGCTGTTTGACAACACCAAGGAAGAGGAAGAGACAGCTTTGACAGTTATTAGAAGGACAAGAACGAGAGGGAAGAAAAAAACAGAAGCAAAACAATGAGGGGAAAAAAGCCTCTCTTTCACTTTTGGGGCACAGCCTAAGACAGGGCAGGATCCAGGCAACAGCAGAAGGGGCTACACCAACAGCCAGGTAAAGAGGCTGAGGATGTCAGCACTTTCCCAATACATGGCATGATCCAGAAACAAGTGAGGGGACAGGGAAAGGGGCTGGGGTAGGGAATGTGTGCTGTCAGAAGGGAGGAACTATGAAAATGGGTACATCACAGAGAAGGAAGCAGTCAGTAAAGGGGTGTGCTTTGCCAAGATGTAGCAGACAGGTAGAATTTAAGGCTGCGAGCGAGCAAAAGCTGGGAAGGAAAAAAAGAGAGACAGCAGAAGAGTGGGAGCAGGAGAGGGGAAGACCTCCTCAGTATGGAACTAGGGATAGTGCAGAAATAAAGCAAGGAGAGACTAAAAGGCAAGACGAAACCATTCGCAGCTCGAAAGGAGCTCAGGGAGTAAAGAGCGAACTTTGCAGATGACAGATGCATGTATCATGCTGCCTCAGGCAAACTCAAACTGGGGCCTGAGCAAGCAGCAATGCTAGAGAACATGCGAGGGCACCGCAGTGCTTGGGAAATGGCTGACTTTGCTCAGGTCAACACACAGAGCTTGACCTCCCACTGTAAATGTGAAAGCTGGTTTTACAGCTAGGATCAATCTGTCTTGGCTGGAGTCACTGCTAGAGTTTTCAAACTCACATACTTACAGGTGGGTGACAGCCATCACATGTCTGAGATGTCCATGGAAGATTGTGCAGCAATCTGAACTCACATCCCCAGGCCTTTTGTACAGGGCCATAAATGGGGATATGGACAGAGAACAAAAGTTCACAAAGCTCATCTGTCAAGACAGACTCACACGGTACCCACCAGCAGTCTCCCAGGTGCAGAATGGGGCTCTCTGAAGCCTATCATCAGCTTTCCCCAACAGCAAAGACATGCATTAAATAAAATACTAGTATCCAGATCCCTCAGCCCCCTGATATGAAGTAATGCCACAGAGGCAGCTCAGAAGTTTCACTGCACCAGGCATCTCCTTTCTGTTGGGGGAAGTGTGGGAGAGAATGGCTTTACCTCTCCAAACTGTCCTTCTCCCAGCTTCTCCTTGAGTCGTAGCTGCTGCCGTGGGAATTCACCCACTGAGATGTCCTTCTTGGTAAGTGAATCCACAGTGAGGGCTGGGACTGCATACATGTTGTTGCCGGTCACACCTTGCAGGTGGACGATATCTGTTTCGGCATAGTGAGGAACATTGTTCTGAAAGCCTTGGTGAGGAGTGGACTTGGTCAAGTCAGGCTCGGCATAATCCCCACTGCACACTAAGGGGAAACCAAAGACAGGTGAGTCAGACATACTCACTCCCTTAAAACCAGTATGGCCTGGCTTCCACTCTTCTCAATCCTGCAGACCTCTGGGAATTCAGCCTAGCTGCACACCTACCACCTTGTACCAAGGTACAGCCAGATGGAAGACTCTCCTTTGTTTTAACTAGGGCTTAAACCAGAGCAAGCCACACTTCTGCAGACGGCAGAATACCTGTAAGGTGCCAGTGAATTTGTGTTAAACAGCCGCCTCTCTAGCCGGTTATGAGAGCTAAAATTCTTGCCCAGACATGGAGGCATGAGTCTAAAGTGGTTTCCTGTTTCTGATTCATCCTAAACATGATCTGTTCCCCTTACCTGACACAGGGGTGTTGTTTGCAACATCTAACTTGCTCTGGATTTGCTTCTACAACAAGAACTCCATTTTCCATGTACACTGTTAGCATGCTATGCTACCTCTTACAGTTTATTCACATAAATACCATGGCAAAACTCTTTATAATTAACTCCCCATATGGTCAGTATTACACAGAACTTTTGTTCTGCTTCAAATTCACATCCAAATCAGTCTCCCTGTGTAGCACAGTGCTGGATCCTAGCAACTTGTCAGTGCTTGAGCAATGCAGCACTGCCCTTCCATTCACTAATCAGCACTGCCATCACCGAGTACAAACACTGTTGGAAATGTTTCTTTCTGCATGCGTCCAAAAGCTCCCCAGGGGCTGGAAGCCAGGGCACCACTGACAATTCTCTGCTGCATTTCCCTCTGCTTTTTCTAAGGGAACTTCAAGGAGCCCTCGCTGCAGGAAAAGGTGCTAAAGGTCTTCTCCACCAGCCAGTCTGGACAGGCCAGGAGTGCTGCAGGTAGTGACTCCACTGCCAAGGGGCTGAGGAGACAAACGATGGATGATTGCCAAAATCAGCTCTTAAAAGATGACCTGGCTAACATACAGTCTTTAAAGATGAGAACAACAAAAGCCCATCACCCTCTAGCAGGGCTGGTGCTCCGTCTGCCAAAGTTACATACTAAAAAGCTTCAGAGCTCCAGAATATTGTTTTAGGTCCCTGGGTTAGGACCTTCTGTGTCACACAGAAGTTGGAGATTACTTAGTCACTGAGAAGTGGCACATTTTAAAATCCGAGAGAAATAATAGGAGAATAAATGCATAACTTCTGGATACTGATGATTACATTACCTGAATCCTCTGCACTTTGGGAGAGCTCTGGAAGCTTTTGGAGCAGTGTAGCTGGCTGGTGATATTCCAAATCCAGTGGGAAAGCACGTTCATAGGTGGGATTTGACTGGTGGATCTGGGTCTGGTTGTTGGCAATAGTGTAGCTGTAGAAGGAGAGGCGAACTGTGGCATCCTCCTCCAGGATTCGACGTGGGGCCTGCAAAAGAGAAAAAAATTGCTGCGGCAATGCTCAGTTAAGTAATGTATTGGCTGCAACCACAGCAATTTCCAGTAACATCTTGGATAGTGCTGGCATCCTCCGCTGCTGTGAGAACAGAGTTTTAGCTGCTCTTTGGAGCTGGGGAGAACCCTACTCTTTCCACATAATTCTGAGCTCATTAGGGTTAATGCTTAGTATTGAACTTGTGTCTGCAAAATAGTCCCATTGTATTACCTTTTCCAACCTTTTTTGAACATATTGCTTCCAAAGAATAATGATTATAATCATCAGGAGCAGAAGAATAATAGCCACAAGGCAGCCCACAAGGATGGAGGTATTGGAGTCATCTGCTTTCTCTCCTATCCAGGTGCTGGTTACAGAAGACGTGGTTTCTGCAATCACAGAGGAATGAAGAGGAATCTGGAGTTAACAAAGTACAGGTGTTATCTGTGCTGGGTAACCTCCTACATGTCCCCTTCTACAGTTTGGTACAGAAAAGGTCTTAGGCAGCTTCCTGAGCTGTGTTCACATTTTGCTCTTATCGGAAATTCTCATTTTGGAGGCTCACAGCTAAAAATTGGGCAGATGACCTCTGCAATCAAAGACTGTTCTTAGCATTGGACCAGATTCCTGCAATGGATCCATGTTAGAGCAGACAGTTTTCAGAGTTTCACTGGCTGCACATATGCCTTCAGCCCGCTTGCTCAGAGGCAGCCTCAGCCAGCTGAGGGAAGAAACAGCTGAGGCTTGGAGGACTGTAAGGTGCAGCCCTGTGCATGAGGGCAATAAGCAGGCCATACCCAGATCTCCAGAAATGGAGGAAGAGACCACATTAACTAGGATGTTACTATGAAATCCCCCGATACTTAAGCCCTTGGCATGGGTAAGTGACAGAAGGCCTTACCCCAGGTCCCCTCAGTAACATTGCACTCTGTTTCCAGGAGATCCGTTGTGCTTGTGGCTACCGTAACGAAATTAGGATTCACGCTCTCCATGTCTGTAGAAGGGAAGGGAAGGTGTCAGTCCAACAACCTCCCTGCTCCTGCCAGCAGTCAGTGCAATCCCAACCACCACTCCTGCGTTCCCAAGCAGAACTGGGTTGAGACCCATGCAGCAGGTCATGAACAGCATGAGCAGAAATACCTGCTCACTCAGTACTTCCCAGGACACCTATAGGAATGAGCCTCTGCATTGAGCAGCATGTACATCCTGACCACATCAAACCACCAGCGTGTGCAGGATGCTTCCCTCAGCTTGGCCAGACACAGGGGACTGGAGAAAGAGCTTTTTTTTTTTTAACCCCCATTTTAGCAAGATTATAAGAATTGTCATCCCAGGCTAGACCAAGAGTCTCCCTAGTCCCACATGTGACAGAGGGTAGCCAGGAGGGGCTGCTATCAGCAAGAAAAGCAGCAAGCTGCAATCAGAGTGCTCCTTCCCCAGGAATGTCCTCTTGGTATAGCAGATTAGGGACCTTCGAGCAGGAAACTACAGCCAGATCATTTCACTGTCAGTGCTGGTGGTTTTCTCCAAGACTCTTGTCCATTCCCTTCTAGAGCTTTTTAAAGAACCTCATGGCACTGACTTCTACATCATAGTTAAGACTTGAAAAAAAAAAGTCAGCCTCTTATTTTTCATAATCTGCAAACTTCATCATCACCTGTAGATATACTTAAATTATTCATAACAAAATACTTGATAAAGAGAAGTAAAAATCAACCCTATAAGCAGCAGACAACTGTCTCAAAAGGAAGTGCTCTATAGTCCAGTTTTTGGTTGCCCTGCTTGTGCTTCTGCACATGTGCATCAGTATCAGCCTGAAAAGAATCTAGTGTAGACTGGACTCTTCTGTCCCTGCATTGCCCTTCCAACCCTCTTATTGCTTCTGCTACCTCCTCCTTCCTGTCGTGTAGTCCCACAGTACCCTACACTCATGTTAACCCCACATCCTGCACCTCCTCATCGTCTCTTTTGCAATCCGTGCTTCACCAGATCTGCTTGACTGGAGGAATACTCACCTGACTGGAAGGAAATCTCGCTCATCATCATCCAGGTGTCAGCAAAGTAGAACCGGCAAAGTATGGCTTTACCTACGCGCTGATTGAGGGGGACAGTCACAAACCTAGCGCTGGGGTTTTTGTCATCTAAGACAGTTGCCACTCCAACAGGTTCAGACTCCCAGTCTGCAATCAGACGTGGTTTGAACAGACACTCCACTTTCTGGAAGATCTTCACCCCCTTGGAAAACATGTTGTTACAATGCACCTAGGAAGAAGAGAACAGATCAATCAGACAGGAGGAAGATTTACTGAAACCTAAATCAATTTCCTTTCAGAAAGTCTTCAGTATCTGCAGTCTAAGCTAATTCCTTAAAAAAAAAAAAAAAAAAAAAAAAGTGGTACAAGCTCAAGAAGATATTTCCCTAACATACAGCAGCTCCTCTGCTGTAGTTGTACCTTGAAGACATGTAGTAAGCCTGCATCTATCACCCTCTCCTGATGGCTCATCATCAGGTTGTCCCTGCTGCAATGGCACCACTGGCTTAGCTAATGATGCTGGAATTTAAACTGCATCCCTACGCTGCCAAGCTAACATCTCACTAAAACAAAGGCATCCTCTCTCATCTGAGTTACAGCTCCCCATAGCTTGCTTTCAGACTAAGCGGTTCACAAACTGCTTTCAGGCTGAGTCAGTACCTCTGTATTTGGGAGGTTTGTTTTACCCTCCCGACAGCTGGTAGCAACTTTCTCCCTTCCCACTCTTGGCCTGCACCCAAACCAAGAGGCTCCAGCATAAAAGTGACATCTCCATCTCCCTGGGTTGCAGCACTGCAGACCCATCAACACCAAACAGCTGGCACGCTCCCAAGCCTCCAGCACTTCTGAGGAAGCAGGCTTCACAAAGAGGGACAAGGCTGTAAGGGTCCTTTATGCTATTCCACTGTCTGTCTTCAACAAAAATCTCACCATGCGCCTTTTTAAACAAACAAACATGACAGTTTTAAGTTCTGCCATGCAGCCCTGATGATCTGGACCACAGTATCTTGGCACTGTGGCCAGTGACCCGGAACCAGAAGGAATAAAGTGACCCTTAAAGTCTTTGGTATCCCTCAGTCTACTCCATAGCCATAGTGGTCTGACCTTCCCCTAGCGACTCTAGAAATTATTTCCTAATGACTGTGGAGTATTAGCAACTGTGACAACAACAATTTCCAAACTAAGTGCAGCTTTGAACCCTATTAATTGCTTGGCCTCAGAAAGGCCTTGTAGTGAATAGCAGTGAAGCACTAATGAGGACGACAGGCCTGATGAGCAGTAAAAAGACAAAAGAAGGATATTTGCATATAGTTAGGAACAGATGAAGCTTAGACAACATTATTCAATAACGAGATATAGTCATCCATAACAAGGCAGGAAAGCCTGATGCCTGTGATATACAATTTGTGCCATATTTGGATTGGAGTTGGATGTGTTCGCATCTTGGACTGATACAGAGACACTTTCTATTTCAAACACCACCTACTGATGTCCAATTTTATAATATGCAAGCCTAAGTAATTTGCAATGCAGTTGCAATATTTGCTAATATTTATTTTTAATACTTTCTTGGATAGTCGGGAAGCTCAGTAAACTGGAATAAAGCTAACAGATATGAAGATACAAAAAAGTATTTTCAGATCACCTAGCCTGTACAGATTAAATGCAAAGCTGAAACAGGCAACATTTAATAAATAATGAAGAATAATTTATGTTAATCAATACAGCTTTATAATGAAATACTAAATGAAGTAGCTATATTTATGAGCTTATGTGTTTGGCTGACCAGGATGTCTGTGTTTACCTGACAGATTTTTATAAGGCATTTGATTTACTCATTATAACATCTGACTCCGATTAGCATAGTATGAACTCATGAACTATATTAATTCCATTAAACATTTTCAATATTCCTAGCTCAAGATTGTTTGCTACCTTTTTCAGTGATTTGAAAGAGACAGCAGAATCACTAGCAATAAAATAAATTAAATGGGGAAAAATAAATCAGAAGTTTTCTCAAGTAAACTGAACTGAACAGGTTTTCAGGACTGACTCCTTTCAGGGTAGTAAACTCATGAAGAAAACGTAAGCAATGCTCTCTACGCTGGACTTTTTCTATCCTGGACACTAACAACTTTGAACTGACTTTTAGTGTGATACCAAAGTCTTAATGAACACTGGCTAGGGGGACTAATATGATTACAAGATTCATAAACAAAGAAGAATTGTCCAAAAGCAGGAAATCGGTACCATTCTTTTATGCAGTTTGATGGAAAGCCTGCATCCAGTTCCAGTTTTTGTACCTCCAAAAGAGCACTGGCAAAGAAAGCAAACATTGGAAGATAGCTACAAAAATGACCCTGGATCTCTCAGGGAAGCATGGAGAAGTTCAGCCAACTTAAGTTTACTGAAGCAAAGATTAAGAGTGTGGTTTATCCAACACTGTAGAAGCAGGAAAAATTCTGAAAAGGCAGGACTCTTACTTTTGCCAGCAAAAGCAGGCTAAGAGCCAATGGCTGCAAGTTAAAAATAGACAAAATAAAACTAGGGTAAGTAACCACCAAAACAATTTACTTCAGGATGTGGTGGGTTCTCCTTCATTTGAAATCTCTACAAAAAAAGCCACCAATCCTTTTTAAAAGATTCTGCTGTTTACTACAGACTCAGAAAGTTCAGCTCATCCTTTTCCTGTGTGTTTAAGTAATTTCCCACAGCACAAGCACAGATAGAAGCATCCAAAGAAATTTTCAGTCAGAATGGAACTACAACCACACTCTTTTACCTCAAGGGTCAGGTGGGCCCTAGGCAGTAAGTAGCCTACATCCTAAATCCATCTCAGCTGCCCACAGGGGCTGCTTAACCACTGCTTCAGGTGTCTGCTTTTTATTCCTTTAAGCCAAATACTGAAAGGAGCGTGTCTGAGCTCTGGAAAGACAAGTGCTCCCCTGCTTCTCCTTTCTACATTGGCAAACTTGGGACATCTCCTGCTAAAATTCTGCCTCTGGTGGGCTCTGCTGTCAGGCACCTTATATCCTCCTGGTTATGGAAGAGGACCCAAAGGGCTACCCCTCTGGAAGCACCCAGACCCAAAGCCTGCTCCAGGCTGCTGGAGAGGGACAATGCTGACTACCTTCATGGAGGTGAAGTTCCGTGGTCGGTCAAACTGGAATTCCATTTCAACAGAGCCCGTGCTGAAGCTCTCGTTCTTCCAGCCAACGTAGTCATAGCCTGGCCACACACGGTACTGGTGGCTCTGTGTGAAATCATCCAGTCCTAGCACACCATCCGTCAGCTGGCCCAGACCACCGTACAAGTGCCTAGCAAGAAAGAACCAACAGTCAGGCAGAATACCAGCCAGGAGAGCTCAAATGTGAAAGCACATGGGTCCTTCAACTGGTACCAGGAAAAGATTAGCTTATTTACCCTTAACCCGTCCTGGATAAGAACTCATTCCCTGTTCTTATGCAACATCACCTTTATTTTCTTCAGGCTGGGCTTTTGAAACCTTTCACTGCTCAGGAAAATTCAAAAATTTTTGCATTGATATAAGCACTGACAGCAAAGCCAAGCTACGAGCAGAGTCTCTTGAGAATGAATACTGAGACTACAGAAAATGACACTGTATGCTCTCTAGAGAGCTTTAATTGCAGCATTTCACCATGGAGCTGCATGGGAGGAACACTGCTCCATCCTGCCTGGGGGAACCAGTGGGGGAAGTTTTGCAGGCAGGCACAGAAAAGCAGGAAAGAGAGCAGTGAGACCACAGGCAGCTCACCCAGCCACAGCCAGTTCTAACTGGGATTACTTCTGGCATTGCTCCTTGTGCAAGAGAGCGTTATCGGCTCTGTTTCCGAGGCTGATCAGACTCTTTGCCCAGGATCCTGCCTCATTCCACTTCCTATCCGAGAGCGCAGAGTGAACTATACAGTTTTCCATCACTGTCCCAGAGTAGAAGATGCCAGATGTGGTACAGTCCTGACCCACCTGCCTTCTGGGAGCCATCCCTGCCATGTCCCTTGTCCTACAGCAGCATAAGTACAAATAGTTCAGCCATATTAGTGTCTGAATTTGCTCCCTGGACCTGTTTCATTCAGCTACCTCTAGGCAGCCTTTGTAACCCAGGCTGGGCTGCTGCTACACACACTGAAGGTCCCCAATTCCAGGTGAGCCCTGGATTTGCACAGGTATGCGTGCCTTTGAACTCCAAAACCAGATTAGCAGCTGGAAGAGGCAGGCTCCTGCTTCCAGGCCACTCAGGCACATGACCTAGAGGTTAAATAGTCTAAAAGACTCCTTGCTTAGCACGCTGGGTCTTGTGCCAGCATCTGTAGCTCCCTGACACTCCCCAGCAAACCCAGCTTCCTCAGTTAGCGCTGGACAGCTAAGTGCAACACCTACATCTTTCTGCAAGTAACATGCTACCCACCCTTTTTTTTTTTAATATCCAATCCCTACTATATCAATGCAGCTTGAAAGTATCAGATAATAACATTATCAGATAAAGACATTACCCGATATCTTGCAACATCCTACAAGCAAGAAGACTGTACTTCCCAACCCCTTATTTTAACCTCCAGCATGATAAAACACAAGTTGATTTACAAAAATTACCTCTAAGCATAAAAAAGTTATAGGCAACAGTAAAAATCTTCAGGAAGTTAATGACAACTGAAACAGGACATATAATAAAAGCACCGTAAGTCAATGGATGACACCGGGTCACTGAAAAGACAGCCAGATCACTTAGGCACATTCCTGCACAGGCAGAGATATGCTGCTTCAAGAGGATACCCAAGCCACTGAAACACACTTAAATCTGTATTTATAGCAAAGAAAGTGTTCACACTAAACGTCTGAAAGTTCAGCCAGTTATTTAACATTTCAGATACAGACTCTTAATGAACCCTCCTTCCATGAGAGTCAATCTCTGGTAAACCAGAGATGCCTCAAAACATCAATAACATGCCACCCTACCTAACTAATGTCAGTGACATGAAAAAATAAGAGACCTTATAACAAGCTGTCAAAAAATTACTTTAGGCTTTTTGACTCCAAATTGGAAAAGCATCATACCCAAGAAATCTTTACAGTGAGTAATAGCCACCTTACTCTCATACCACATTGGCAGTGGTGCCTCTGCTGACCTGGAGCTTCTCACAGGGAGTGATGCAGTTTTCCAAGTTGTTTCAAGTCCTTCACAGCTTTGTTTTCAAAAACAACATCTCAAATCAGAAGCTCACAGGTATCAAGTGCAGGCCTAGAGTTCAGGTGTTGCGCACTTTCTTGGATGCCCAGTTTACCCTGGAAACCTCCTGCAACAGTTTAAGATGCAGTCTGCTAGAGAATGCATTTCAGATATCAAACTCCAGAAGCAACAAAGGCAATGAAGAGGGGAAGGACCTTCATCTGCTCCAAGGACACTGGGGCTGCACAGGTAGAAGGTCCAGCCAGCTCTCCCACTCCAATCTGGGGCAACAGAAGAGTAGCAGCACCTTATGATCTGCAGTATCAGCAACAGCTTAAGGCTATACCTGAACCAACAAAGAAATCAGTGCAATGAATATGGTCACAATTAGAGACCACAAGCAATGAGGGCTTTAAGGCAATCAGACACATCAGGGCTTTGTCATCACATCACGTAAAGATGGAAGCTATGAACAAAGACAGCACTTAGCTGTACAAGGACACACTCTTCTCTTTAAAGAGAAGAAACAACAGCTTCCAATAACAAAAAAAATATGTTTCTTTCCTAACAGCCTTTGCCAGCTGGAGGAAATGAATCTCATGCATCCTGAGCCCACATCCTCCTTTAAAAGAACAACTAACAACAGGTCAAAGGGCCTGGAACAATGAAGCCATGATGCTTTGGACAACTAGTAGGCTAGCTTGCAGCTCTGGAGGTTTTAAAGACACGTTTGGGATGCAAGATACTAGTGACAGGGGTAAGTAGGAAAGAAGAGATAATTTGCACAGTGACCGAGAGAGAACAGGACGACTTCTCCCACCTGCGCTCCTGGTAGCCATCATAGGTCGAGTCATTCAGATAAACGATGGGGAAGCCAGGAGCCGCTATTGTCCCTCCTTCAGGGATGCTATAGGATGCCAAACCATCTAAAAAAGAAGGCCATATACCTCAGAAATACAGCAGCAGCAGCCTTCCATCATCTCTGTCCATATGATCCTTTTATTTATGATGTGGACCAACAGAAGCAGTTTCGTGGGCCTGGGATTCCCTCTGCATACGTGGGGACGCAGGCAAGTCCCAGTCAGCGTTGCGTAAGGACTACTTTCCAGTGACAGGCACAGAAATTGCTACTTACCATACCAGACACAGCCATAGAGCTCCACCCTCATACAGACAGTCATTGGCATCTCCGTCACAGGAATCACCCGGATAAACCGTGCAATGATGGGAGGCCGAAGATCTTTCAAGACCACGTCATAAGTATCAACGTTGCCTTGGATCACCTGGAGAAGAGAGTTCCTTATCAACAACTTCTCCCTATTGTGTGGTTAATACCAACAGTGGTGTACTTGTACCCTACCATTTGAGACTGGGGAGCTTACTGCTTTGACAACAGTACTCTGAGGGACAGGAGAAAGGCAAGTGGGAGATGAACGTACACGTACACCATACGCTGCAGGGAGCTCCAGTTACTGGTACGTAACCTCTCTTCAAGTGAGTCTCCACATACACTCTAACAGCAGTAACTGTGCACTGGCCCTCATCACTAGTTACCTGGCAGAGGGTCCTGATACCCTTTTTGTATGAGCCAACAAAATTCCAGAGGTGCTGCAGTGTTTGGAGGATGAAGATGCAAGCAGCTGCATGGCAGATGTCTTGAACTGAAGTGTTCAGCATTGCCACAGTCACCCAATCCTGCAGTCTGATACGGCAGGGACCCTCACCCTCCCCTTCTCTTCAGTTTCAGTACGGTTCTGGGAACAGTCCACTATTTATTTTGACAGTCAGTGTGTGGAAACAGCTGAAGCTGTCAATTCCCCAGCAGCGGACAAAAGTGCCCAAGAGGTTTTTTTTGAAAGGATATGGACCTATGGAAACAGAATAAGAACACTTTGAAGTTTGAATTATTAGTGTGAGGGCTCCTGTTCAAAGGTGTTACTGGTGAGAAGGGCTAATAAGAGACTGAGGTTACTCAAAAGACCACATGGATTGCAATTGTTGATGTACAGGCAACATAAAAGACCAAGGGAGGCCGATGAGGGAGCAGAAAGGTGGCTTCCTCTTCATGGCAGCAGGTAAGATCTCCAGAGAGTGAATGTGTCCGGAAAGTCCACTGAGAAGTAAAAAACATTGTAGCACAAAAGGAAGCCACTCAGAAGACTGCATCTCCCTGAAGACAAGCCAGTCACATCCGGTGGACTTCTGGACTGCACCAGGATAGCTGTGAAACCATTTCCACTTGCAGCCCACTTCCTAGGAGAAATACCCATGACTTCTTCCAATGAAGTAGGGACACATAAATAATCCTTGACTTCAGGAACAAAGTGACAGCAAATAACCCTTTCAGCTGTCAGACAGCCTAAGATAGGAGACCTGGAAGCCATCCACAAGACCCTGTTGATAGGAGATAAAACCCAAGAGGAGACAATGTATATACCCCACATCTTCATACAGGAGTTGAACAGATCCTCTGGAGTTGACCATTTGTTGGGGAATCTTGGGGGTGGCAGATATGTCAAGCCAAAAAGTCCTACATGAACAGAGTAAAAAACCTTCAGCCATCCCCTTCAGAAAAAGGTGCCTTTGTACCAGCTCTGTATTGGAAGACCTGACATTTCTGCCTGTCCTGTATGGACATCTTCTGAGAAGCAAAAAAGAAGATGCACTTTGCATAGCACCTCCACAAGGTGGGGTTGCTGATACTGAGCACACTTGATTTCTCAGGGCCAAAAAAACCGAAGTGATCAGCTGCGTGTGGAACAAACTCAGCACCAGTTTCCAGTCCCAGCCACTACTGATGTCAGTCAATGTTCCCAACAACATCAGGAATGGAGAGGTGCTGCTGGCAAACAACTGTAGATGGCTGATCCCAGAAGCTGATGAGAGACCAGGACTCAACAGTGCTGCACCATGCAACATCAGTATCAAAGGAGAGCACTATCCTTAACTGGTGTCAGAGACGAGGGGACAGCAACCTGACCCTTTGCCTTCACTGAGCAAATCAGAGCTGGAAGCAACTTCCCTGGTGAGGAGCAGCATGTGCTGTGTATCTTGATGATGCAAGATCCTGTGAGATCTGAAACTTAACACCACAGTGAAGCGGTTGGGTTTGGTGGTGGTGGTTTGGGTTTTGGGTTTTTTGTTTATTTGTTTGTTTGTTTTTTTACTGAAACGATTCATTTGATCTCCATGGACAGAGGCATGCCAAGATGGGCTCACATAGTCACACTCTGAAATCTTAGTGATTGGGAATCTATCAACTGCAGGACTGGAAGAGGCCTTCCTAATGCATACAAAAAAGTAGATTAGGATCTTGTATCTCTATCTGCACCTCATTCCAAGGCTTGAATGATTTCACATGACATTTTTACCAAATTATTTGACCAGACAGCAGTGCTTTTGAAATATGGATTCACTAATGGATACTGGTGACATATTTTGAAAAATGTTTTATGGAAGGCCATTTTACAGAGGTGCTGAAAGGGCAGGAATCACACCCCATTGTGTATGGCATGTCCAGAACAGCAGGAGCAGAAGCATGTTCTCTAAGGATACCAGGAGGGAAAACTTTTTGGTCTCATGTGAAGGGGAACAGGTATGCACACTGACAGAGTGTATGTGGACTTCTACATATACATAATAGAATAGAGGATGGCTCAAACTATAGCATCATACACAGCTGAATACACACTCATTACCTTATTATGGCCCAAGAGGGAGATCTTGCAAAAACAGACCCATACTAGATTGTAACACGTGACACTAACACAGCCCTGGGTGCTCAAGACTGCTCTGCACAAGACTGGGGTGGGAGACAAAAAGCATTTAGCTGCTTGTGGACATGTAACCAATTGAATTCTAATAAAACTCAAGATGCGGACAGACTTCATTCAAGAAAGTACCAACGAGGAACAGTTAGCCCCATGGAGTTTAAACTTTCCCTCCCACCTTGCAAACACAGCATTTGTAGCATAAAACAAGACCTGAGGGACTGGCAAGATAATGGTAATGGCCAAGCAGCAGATCAAAGGTCTGAGTGAGCAAACAGTTCATTAACAAGCTAGAAGCTGTTACCTAACACTGCAATACAGACCCCATCGTGAATTCCAAAGCACCCCCAGTGCTACAAAACACCACCACACCCAGTACCTTTTCTACTCTGGCTTAAGTCTTCAGACTCCACAAGCTAGCCTGAGGCAGGGTGATCAGGTCAGAAGAGCTGCAGATAAGAGAAGGGGATTCCTTCCCAGTGGAAGTTTAATTAAGGCTTCGAACTCAAGTCTGGAGATAGCAGGAGACAATAGTGGTGAACTGGGAAGTCTCTGAGTGTGTGTGCTCAGCACATTTCGTACCCTCTGAACTCCTTTCTCCTCATTGCTCCCTACATTAAACTCTGCTATCAGACATACAGAAACTCATCTCCATTCCCCTACCACCCTGCTTGTTTTTTGGTTTGTGGGGAGTTTGTTTGTTTGTTTTTGTTGTGGGTTTTTTGGTTTTGTTTTTTTTTTGTTTTGTTTTTTTTTCTTTTAAATCACAAAGCAGGCATCTGCTTTGCAACTTCCAATTTAGAAGCAGGTATCTGGCTGGTAAAGAGACATTCATGTGATGTTTTGAACATGGACGGAAAGTATCATGGACAGTGAAGAGCCACAGTTTTCAGTCATGGTAATGGCTGGGATTTGAGGGATCAGGTCTGGGGAATAACAGTCCAACATCACAGCAAACATAGGACTAAGGCAGAGGATGCTGAGTGCTTGACAGAGAAGAGTCAGGATAAAGTACAATGCACTAGGTGATAAGTAGAGGACGTGCCTTCTACAGTCTAGTTCTCTATAACTTGAATTCTGCATGCTCCAAAATTCAGTTCCTACTACACTCACCTTCCTGCCCTGACGATCTTTCCAGGAGATCCAGCGCTCTCCATTGCGGCTATAGTCAATTCGGTAAGCACGGGCAAATTCTTTGCCTGTGGCACGGGCATGCCGTCCCTGAGTCCCAATCAAGGTGATGAAAAAGAGCTTGTGCAGGTCAATTTGAAGGAACTGTACATCTTCTGGTTGCAACAAGCCAGCCGGGCACCAGGCTCCATCCCCCTCTTCCCTTTGTAACCTTAGGGAAAAAACCACACACATTAAAAAATGTCACTTCCAAGGATCCAGTCTTCCCAATAACCGAGGAAACACCTTGAAACTTTGAGAATTGGGAGAAGGAAACCAAATCAACAAGTAAGATCTGACAGCTGGCTACCAAGTAGCTGTCCCCTTTGGGGTGATGGTCAACTGAGACTTATGAGAGTCCTGTAGCCAGTTTTGCTCTGGTCAGAACAACTCCCTCAGTTTCAGGTATCTTTCATTAACTGTTAGAAGTAATTTCTTTCCCAGACACATACTTCCATGCTGGTCAGAAACAACTATACTACTCAGTAGATAATTGCATACTGCGTGCTTTTTAGCACTTTGCTGGTGAAGCGCATACTCACTTCTCCTAAACCTCATACAGTAAGACATCGACCTCTACTTGACCACCTCCTAGAGCTCTAATAAGCACAAAGAGGAGCTATCTTAAAAATACATTTTAGAAAGAAAAGCTCTGCCCAGTTCAACACATCTGTCACCTTTCCTTCATTAAGCAGAGTTGCTTGTGCAGGACATTGCTAGGCGTATGATGTGAAGGTGTCTGCTTCAAAGTTCAACATTGTGGTGCTGGCTGCAAAGATTAAGGCCTCAGAGACTGCATGCCAGGCAGAGTGCAGTAGCAATCAGCAGGTGGAGCCACTAAAGGAAATGCTGCCTTACCTTAGGCTTCTGTAGGCTCAGCTGTGCAAGCCACAGTGGTGAGTTTTAAAGGTGAAAAATTTATCCAGATACAAAAAGACCACGTGGGCTTTTTAGCAACAGAGATTTCTTAGCAAACAGCAAGCCCTTGAAGTGCCCTTGTCTTTTGGACAGCTCTGCCATCTCTAACTGATGGGATCACTGAGTGCCAACCCAGAAGGAGACACTGAAGGTCAAGGCGTAGGCTAGAGGAGCTTTTTGTCTCAGGTTGGTCAGCTGTTTGTGCAAGACTTTCTTATGGTGATATCAATATGGTGATAGGCGCT